TGGGATTCTTCCATCCTAAGTGCAGGACTCTGCACTTGTCCTTGTTGAACCTCATCAGCGAGGGGGCAGCAGAGTGGGGAGGAGGGGCTGGGCGCCCTGAACACCTCCTTTGTGTCCGTAGCCCCCCACACGGTGGAAGAGAAGGAAGGGAAGGAGCCACCCCCAGGTTACCCCGGCCTGGAGACCATGCTGCCCCTGCTGCTGACGGCCGTCTCCGAGGGGCGCCTCGCCATCGAGGATGTGGTCAAGCGCCTCTACGAGAACCCCCGCAAGATCTTCTCCCTGCCCGCACAGGATGACACCTACATCGAGGTGGGTGGGGCGTTCCCAATGGGGGGGGCGTGCCCCATGGGAACGGCGCTGGGCTGGGCCGCTGGCATCGCTGAGCCCTGGGGACTCGGGGGAGCTGAGGAGCAAATGGCTGGGCCCTGCTTAACAGCTGCCAGACATGAGCGCCCAGCCAGAGCCTGGGCCTGGTCCGGCGCCGGAGCCCCACCCTGCCCTGCCCCACCCGCCCTCCTGGGCCTGCCCCCAATGCGCTGCCCTCCCTGGGTCCAGCCCCACCCCGAACAGCTGCCAGACGTGAGCGCCGGAGCCCCACCCTGCTGCCCTCCCGGGCCCTGCCCCACCACCCGCCCTCCTGGGCCTGCCCCCAATGCGCTGCCCTCCCTGGGCCTAGCCCCACCCCGACGAGCTCCCAACCAGAGCCCAGATCCAACCCTGATGTGCTACCCACTGTCCCTGGGCCTGCCCCCCACCCCAGCCTGACCCGGCTCTGCCCCCCGGCCAGGTGGACCTGGAGCACGAGTGGATCGTCCCCAGCCACATGGCCTTCAGCAAGTGCCAGTGGACGCCGTTCGAGGGAACGAAGGTGAAGGGGACGGTGCGGAGGGTGATCCTGCGTGGGGAGGTTGCCTACATCGACGGGCAGGTAAGGGCGAGGAGGAGGGGAGGGGCTTCTGGGGTGACCTGAGACACTGGGCTGTGCTGCCGAGTGGGGGGGCGAGCCAGCTGGGGCGGAGCCCGGCCCCCCACGCCCCCCCATCTCAGCCTGGGTCTCGGCTCCCTCCCCGCTGAGTGTCTGTGTCCTGCAGGTGCTGGTGCCCCCCGGTTACGGCCAGGACGTGAGGAAATGGCCCACGGGGGCAGTGACTGTGCCGCCTCCTGCCCCAGCCAATGAGACTCTGAAGGTACCGGGGGGGGGGGGGGGGGGCCTGCCTGGCTGTCACTCACCATCCCCCTGTGCAGGGGAGGAGCCTGCCGGTGCCCTGATCCTGTCTGCAGGGTGCTGGGCGTGGGCCTGGAGTGGGGGGATGGATTGGCCAGGGCACCGGGAGGAAGCAGCATGTGGGATTGGTGGTTTGGCAGTGCGAGGGGAGGTGGGGTGAGGTGGTGGGGGCTGGCGGGACAGGCGGGGTGGGGGCTGTGCCGGGGGTGGGGCTGGTGGGAGGCGGGGGGGCAGGTGGGGCTGGGGGCGGGGCTGGCAGGAGGTGGGGGGGGGAGACAGGCGGGGTAGTGCCGGGGGGTATTCCCCATGCCAGCAGCGCTGACCTCTCCTCACCATCCCATGGCATTGCAGACCCCTGAGCGCCCGCGGCACACGGTGCAGAGCGAGACCCTCCGTAGCCGAGCGTCCAGCCCCCGGCGAGCGGGGCCTGTGGGAGACGGGCGCTTCCACCTGCCACCCCGCATCCACCGGGCCTCGGACCCCGGCCTGCCAGGTGAGGCACATGTGGGGCTGGAGTAGCAGGGCCAGGCGCTTCCCCGGCCCCAGGGCTCTGGTTGGGCCCCTGTGCGAATCCAGCCGGGGGCTCGTCCCAGCCCCTCCCCTGGAGCCACATGGAATGTGCTGGGGTGGGGCCTGCCCGGAGTGACCTGAGCAGCAGCCAATGAGTGTGCGTGTCCGTCCCCTCCCCGCTCCCCCCAGCCCCAGGGTGTCCACAGGAGGGGGGCTGGGCTCCAACGCGGGGGGGGGGGGGGGGGAGAGGGGAGGGAGGCCCTCAGAGCCTCAGCCACCTGCTCATACTGCAGCTCCCATTCCTGCCCCCCCAACCCTCCCACGGGATCCAGGCCTCCCCACTGGTGCCCCGGGGGGAGGTGGCTGAGATGGGGCAGTTCATTGTGCCTACGTCCCTGACCGAGCTCTGGCCCTGGCACCTCCCGGATTCCCCTCCCCGGACAGCGAGGAGGGTCCCTTAGCACCGTGCCAGCGCTCTGCTCCCGCGCCAGCCCCCTGTGTGGGTGTCTTGCTGGGCATGGGGCCAGGCCCCCAGCTCTCCTCGATGGCCCCGGCAGCTCCTCCCCTGGGCAAGCTGGGTTCTTCCTGGTGCTGTTTCTGTTGGGCAGGGGTTTGGAGCTGGGCTTCGGCGCCGCTCCAGCTCCAGCCAAAAACCTGCAGCTCCACTGCTCCGGAGCTGCTCCGCGCTCCAGCTCCGGGCTCTGCTCCAAAGTCCTGCTGTTGGGTGCCTCCCCCTCCCCCCTCTCCCCGGGCGCTGTGTCCCACATGGAGCCAGCTGGGCCAGAGCATGCAGGCTTCAGCGTCTCCAGGGCGCCCATCCCATGGGTGTGAGGCCCGTCCCCCTCCCACTGTCTAGAGAAGGGTGGGGCCCCAGGGTGCCCGGGCGCCTCCCCGCGTCGGCCTGTCTGTGTGTGTGGAGCTGCTGCCCGCGGCTGGAGGCAGCAATGCAGGATGAGCGGTGGTGCAGGGCCGGGTGGTGCAGCGCTCGTAGCCGCTGTGTCTAACCGTGTTGTGTGTCCCCGCACGCCTGTCGCCAGCTGAGGACGCGAGAGAAAAGGCCACCAAGAAGGCCAGCGAGCCAGGTTTGTCCTGTCCCACGTGGGGTCTGGGGACTGAGGTCCAGCGGGGTGCTGCCAGGCTGGGGCCCCTAGGGCCAGGGAGAGATGGTCTGAACCATCTGCGCAGGGGCCTGAGTGGGTCGCCAGATGCTGCTCTCGGGAGGCTGCGGGCTGCAGTTGGTGACTCTGCCCCATCGGTGGCTGTGCATGCAGCTCCCCACTGGCCTGGGGCCCCCCTGGGCCGGGGCCACCCCCTGGCTTGGCCAGCAGGGGTGGCGAGGAGGCCCCAGGAGCTGGGCAGGTGGGAGCTGTGGTCCATGCTCTGGGCTGGGTGTGTGGGTGGGAGCCCCAGGCTGTGCCATGGGGCGGGGGTAGGGGGCAGAGCCTCCCCTCCAGCCACGAGGCTGGTGGGACGTCTCCCTCCCGCCCCATTGCCCTGGCGCTCGCTGATGCCTGCGCTTGGTGCTGCAGATCTGGCTGTGACCCAGGACAGCTGCTGCTACCCACCGGGGCTGCTGCCCAGACAGACGTCGCCCCCAAGCGCTCCCCACCCGCAGACTTCCCCGCTGCTGCACCCGCTCGTTGGGCAGCATGTCCTCTCTGTCAAGCAGTTCACCAAGGAGCAGGTACCGCGCAGCGAGGGGCGGCTGGGGGCTCTCCCCGGGGAGCCCGGGCTGGGGGAGGAAGCCGAGCCGGGGCAGGGCCTGTGGGGGGAGTGTGTGCGGCCCCCGGCTGACCGTTGTCTCGTTCCAGATGTCCCACCTCTTCAATGTGGCGCACAACCTGCGCATGCTGGTGCAGAAGGAGCGGAGCCTGGACATCCTCAAGGTGAGCCAGGCCGGCCGGGCACTGTGGGGGGAGGGATCGGGGCAGGGAAGGGGAACCTGGCCTCACTGCGGGGCAGGATCGGGGTGGGTGCTGGGGGGGGATTGGGACCTCACTGTGGGGGGGGAAGTTGCGATCGGCGCCCTGCCGTGAGGGGGGCTGGGGTGGAGGATTGGGACCCCACTGTGGGGGAGCTGAGGGGATCGGAGCACTGCCATGGAGGGGGATATGGGGGGGGATCGGGACCTTGCCGTGCTCACGGTCTCCCCTCCCCTGCAGGGGAAGGTCATGGCCTCCATGTTCTACGAGGTGAGCACCAGGACCAGCAGCTCCTTCGCGGCGGCCATGTACCGCCTGGGGGGCTCCGTCCTGGCCTTCTCCGAGTCCACGTCCTCGGCCCAGAAGGGCGAGTCCCTGGCCGACTCGGTGCAGACCATGTGCTGTTACGCGGACGTGCTGGTGCTGCGCCACCCCCAGCCGGGGGCTGTGGAGGTGAGGGGCCCCAAGGGCCAGGCCAGCCCCCGTCCTCCAGGGAAGCAGAGGCCAGCAAGGGAGGCAATGGGGGGGAATGGGTTGTGACTGGGCATGAGCGCCCTCCCCCAGCCCCATAGGGCGGGAGGGGGATGGGCTGTGACTGGGAGTGAGACGGACTCCCCCCACGCCCAGCCCCATGGATGGGCTGTGGCTGTGCTCAGCCCCATGGGTTGGTGGCGGGATGGGGGGTGGATTGTGGCTGGCCATGAGCCCCCCCCCTTTCTTGGTGCTCAGCCCCACGGATCGGGGGCAGGGGGAGGGGCTGTGGCTGCGCTCGGCCCCGTGGATCAGGGGGAGGGGCTGTGGCTGCGCTCGGCCCCGTGGATCGGGGGCAGGGGGATGGGTTGTGGCTGCGCTCGGCCCTGTGGATCGGGGGCAGGGGGAGGGGCTGTGGCTGCGCTCGGCCCTGTGGATCGGGGGCGGGGGGAGGGGCTGTGGCTGCGCTCGGCCCCGTGGGGTGGGGCTGTGGCTGGCCGTGAGCAGCCCCCCCGTGCCCAGCCCGTGTCTCGTTTGCAGCTCGCTGCCAAGCACTGCCGGAAGCCGGTGATCAATGCCGGGGATGGCGTCGGGGAGCACCCCACGCAGGCCCTGCTGGACATCTTCACCATCCGCGAGGAGCTCGGCACCGTCAACGGCATGACGGTAAGGGGGCCGGGCGAGGTGCCCCCACACTGCGCCAGGTCTCGGCTCTGACTCCAGGGCTGGGGGCTCAGGCCCATGCAGCTGAGGGGGAAGGGGGGTTTGCCGCGCTGGGTCTCAGCTCTGACCCCCATGGCCCCAGACCCCCCCAGGAGTCCCGTGCAGCCATGCGAGCGCTGCCCCCTGCTGGCCGGGCTCCAGGGTGCTGCTGTCTCTCCCCAGATCACCATGGTGGGGGACCTGAAGCACGGGCGCACGGTGCACTCGCTGGCCTGCCTCCTGACGCAGTACCGCGTCAACCTGCGCTACGTCACGCCCCGCGACCTCCGCATGCCCGCCGACATCATCCACTTCGTAGCCTCCAAGGGCATCAAGCAGGTGAGCCCGCTGCGTGCCAGGGACCCCGCTCCTGCGCCCAGCGATGCCCCCGCCCCGCACTAACGCCCTGCCCTTCCCAGGAGGAGTTCGACAGCATCGAGGAGGCTCTCCCCGACACGGACGTGCTGTACGTCACCCGCATCCAGAAGGAGCGATTCGACTCCGTGCAGGAGTACGAGGCGGTGAGTGTAGGTGCTGCCCCACAGGGCCTGCGAGCTGCTTCCTGCAGGTGCTCTGGCCCCGGGGTGGGGCTTGGCTGCGGGAGCCTTGCTGTGCCTCTAGGCCCCTTCGTTGCTGCCCAGGGGATTGAAAAGGATAGAGGGGGGTGACAGTGCCCTGGGGGTGACTGGGTGAGGGGCGACCGGGCCCGGGTGGCGCGACAGGGCAGTGCAGTGACTAGGCTGCGGGGTGGGGGGGTGCCCTGGGGGCAGGGGGGCGGGGGGGAGGGGGGGGGGGGGGGGGTGGCAAGGCACCTGGGGACCTCAGGGGCAGTGGGGTGACCAGGTGGGGGGTCCCGGGAGCGGTAGGGTTGTGGGGCGGCCGTGCCAGGCAGGAGCAGTGATGCCCGTGGTCCTGCCCATCCTTGGGGTGCTAACAGCCTCTCCCCCCGGCCAGTGCTTCGGGCAGTTCATCCTCACCCCGCACATCATGACCAGAGCCAAGAAGAGGATGGTGGTCATGCACCCGCTGCCTCGCGTCAATGAGATCAGGTGAGGGGTGCTGGGCTGGGGGCTGTGGCTGGCTCCGGGGTCCCTGCACCCTGGTGGGGGGCTCCCCAGTGCCTAGCAGTGACTCTCCCCTTGCCCCCTAGTGTGGAGGTGGACTCGGACCCCCGGGCAGCCTATTTCCGCCAGGCTGAGAACGGCATGTACATCCGGATGGCACTGCTGGCCACGGTGCTGGGCAGGTACTAGGGGCCCCAGCCAGGGCAGTGCCAGCGGCGGCAGGAACCCCCGTACTCCAGACCTGGTTCGCGATGGATGGACTCACGGACGGACCCAGCTCCTTCCCTCCCACGTGCGACAGGGACTGCACTGAGCAAGGCCTCC